ATTGTGCTTTACAGAGGAACCTGTTAATACAGCAAGCCCAAGCAGAAATAATAAGCTTAATATACTAGGTGGAGACAACAGTTTTAATGTTAGCATGCAACAATATTATGTTGAAGCTTTATTTGTAAACTTTTAACCTCAAGACACATTCCTTTTGTATACTAGAGGAGTTAGAACTGCCATCTTTTTTTTTAAATTTTACTTATTGATGAGAGAGAACAATTTTTTGCTCCATATATTTATGCATTCATTGGTTGATTCTTGTATGTGCCCCACAATGTTGGCATTTCAGGACAGTGCTCTAACCAACTGAGCTACCCGGCCAGGGCCGCCATCTTCTTTTATGGCAAATACCTCTTCCTTCTAAAGTTGAACAGTATCACCTAGGTAACACATCAGTGTTTCCATTTTGAATTGTAAGTATTTCTTACAATTTGAATTGTTAGTAAATTCTTACAATTTACTAACATACGTACATGAAATCCATATCAATGGGCATTTATAACAAGCAAAACAAAAACACTTCTGATCTAATTTTCATCTTTCACCTGTCTTCTATTGTTCATAGGTTTTCGTGTTATTATTCCACTTTTGCTTTCCTTTTTGTCTAATTGGTCTTTAGTTCTGCCATCTGCTCTGCTCTAGCAGGATAAACTAACTCTATGTTGTCACATTTTACCTAACAAAAGCATGGCTTGCAATCACTGAAAACTCTAGAAACCAAAAGTTGCAAAAATAAACAGTAATTTAACTAAGTTTTATTCAGGCAGTGACTGGTCTCAGGATCTCAATGATGTAATATGAACTGAAAGAAATAAACTTTCTACAACCTTCAAAGCAGTGAAGATTATCCTAAGAAATCTTCAATGGCAATCAATAAATTCTAAATTCTCCATAAGAAAAAAGAGGATAGTTAACATGTGAGAAGTTAACATTAAGGGCTTGCTTGCCATAGGCCCAGGATTGTGCTAAGCACTTTATACTAGCTCACTTAATCTTTTTGAAATAAGCTCTATTCACTTAATCTTTTTGAAATAAGCTCTATTATATATATATATATATATATACTAGAGGGCCCGGATCACAAAATTTGTGCCCTCGGGGCAGGGGGCCCCTCAGCCCTGATTGCGAGAGGGTGCAGGCCAGGCTGAGGGACCCCACCTGTGCACGATTGGGGCCAAGGAGCCACGAGGGAGGTTGGCCAGCTGGGGAGGGACTGTGGGAGGGCTCCAGGGCGTGTCCAGCCGGTCTCACTCAATCCCGATTGGCCGAACCCCAGCAGCAAGCTAACCTACAGATTGGAGCATCTGCCCCCTGGTGGTCAGTGCACATCATAGCAAGTGGTTGAGCAGCCTTAGCATATCATTAACATATTACACTTTGATTGGTTGAATGGCTGACCAGCCAACCAGACACTTAGCATATTAGGCTTTTATTATATAGGATTTTTTAGTCCATGAGGAAATCTAGGCTCGAAGCTAGTTTAGTGGACCCAGGATTCCAAGACAGATTTATCTGACACCAAAGTCTATGTTCTTGGCCAGAGCCTAAGAAGAGCTTCAAAAGCATTCCATTAAAAATATATATATATGCCAATATGTGGTGATAGCCAGAGGGAAATGGGGGTGGGAGGTTGGCAAAGGGGCAGGGGATGGGGACAAAGACTTTGCTTGGGGTGGTGAGCACATGATGCAGTGTGCAGATAATGTTTCCTTGAGTTGTACACTTATAAAACCTGTATGATTTTGTGAACCAATGTCACCTCAATAAATTCAATTAAAAATGACTTTCCTGGATCATAAAAATACAAAATAAGAGATATTTTGACATAATCTAAATCTTCTCTTTAACACACCTTCAATCCTTTATTAAAATCATCACTCTGGAAAAAAGGCAACCATGTTTGATACATTTGTTGCTTAGTGTAAAAAGAAAGTTGAAATTCTCTAAGTATAGCCTGAAAGTTATTCTGGAAGTAAACAAAGAGAAGTTTCCTTCAAACATCTGAAGGACTGTAATTAAAAATTAATTATATTAGGCCTCATATAAAAGGTAAATAATTTGTGTTTTGGCCTCTTTGACAAAACTAGTGTAAAGTTACTCAAAGGCTAATTGCAGAAATTTAATTAACATCATTTGTTGTCTATAACCTAGGACTACTAAAGTTAAAAATAATAAAAATAAACTTTATTTGACTAATTGGCTAATTGAAATAAATATTTGAAAACTTAAATGTACCAGGCAGTAGGGCAGTAAACTGTAAAAGAAAAAAAGAAAAAAGAAAATCATCGCTCTGCTTTGCACACAATTAGCATTCAGGGAGTAGGTGTGAGTATTCATTAGAATTCTTCCTATATAATTGTTTTATTGAAAAATGGGGAAGGGGAAAGAGGGTGGGAATTCTAAAAATATACAAAAAGAAAACATATTCACTCACAAGCCTGTTGACATGAGGCTAAGAAGTAATAAAATAGATTCCCATTTCCTCTTTCAAAACACAAGGGTAAATGGGAGCATAATTAGCCACTCAAAGGTGGGCTGTGACCTCCTTCCAAAGAGTAGAGTATGAAGAGGAGGAAGAGTGGGGGAAAGTAGCTTTAGAATGGAGAAAATGACACTATCTCAGCCAGGTGATCAAGGTCAGTATCAACAGGCCATGGCCTTAATAATGATGCGATGGAAACGGCACTTCACTTATGTGGTCTTCCTCCCCAAAACTCGTTAATCACAGTCTAATCATAAAACGCAAGGACCCTGCCATGTGGCTCAGTTGTCTCGATACCCCAAGGTTGTAGATTCGGTCCTCAGTCAGGGCATATATAAGAATCAACCAAAAATGTATAAATAATTGGAACAACAAATCAATGTTTCTCTCTCAAATCAATCAATAAAAAATTTAAGTCATTATAAAAACACAAGATAAATTCCAAAGGAGGAACGTTCTGTAAAACATGTAAACTGAACTCCTCAATATTGTCATCAAAAACAAGTCTGAGAAACCATCACAGCCAAGAGGAACCCAAGGAGACCTAACAACTAATAGTAATGTGGCATCCTGGACCAGAAAAAAGACATTAGGTAAAAACTTTAAAATCTTTATTGAAAAAGTGGGTCAATATTGGCTCCTTAACTGTAACAAATGTACCATACTAATGTAAGATGTAAACAGGGGAAGCTGGGTGCAAGGTATATGGGAACTTCTGTACTGTCTTCCCAATTTTTTCTGCAGCTCTGTTCTAAAAAACAAAATCCATTAAAAAAAAAATCAAGTATAATGTAAAGTGGCAGAACAGAAAAAAGCTTGGAGTTCTCTGGGACCCACATACTCTTGCTTCTTTTACCCAGCACAGTGGAAAAGGTGGAGATTTTGTACCACTAGACTTCAAAATTCACTTAAGGGAAGTAGTGGTCACATTTGATCAGATTGAATAAAATACAATCTGAGGTATTCATTACCTACACTCTGAAAATAAAGGATGAATATTACAAATTATATTGCCTTCCAAACATACTTTCAAAAGAACCATTTGCCATTGCTAGAGTAGGTCATAGCCTCTCAAAATGGCAAAGAACCTTAGATGCATTCTACACCAATGTCCTGGAATTTACTAAGTGCACTAACTACAAAGGAAATGGTCTGTTCAGTACCATTCTACCAGTTAGATGGAAGTCTGGTCTTTCTACTGCTGAATTTAAGCTCTTTCCTGACACAGTATAATTCCACTCTGGTTATGAGGTGTCAGAAATATCCTTTTTAAAAAATATATGTTTTTTAATCCTCACCTGAGGATGAGAGAGAGAAACATCAATGTCAAAGAGAAACAGCAATCGGCTGCCTCCCTTACTGGCCCCGACAGGGATTGAACCTGCAACTCTTTGGTGCAGGAGATGATGCTCCAACTAACTGAGCCATCCAGCTAGGGCTCCCATATTTTAAAATGGCACTTGAATATCTAAATATGTAAGTGCATTATATGTATTCTTTGGAAGTGGGATAGCAGAAAGGAATGCGGAACCCACAGTGTTACAAACTCTCTGCATCCATTTTCCTTGCATACTAAGTTTTACAGAAACAATTTATATTTAGTACCAATGTTGTACAGGTTAACAAATTATAGGTAGACAAACTGAATTTAGTTCACTATTTATAAACTATTTAAACTGTCACTACTAGGTGATATATAGGCGAGTTCTGCTTCTCTCCATTGCACGAAGAGGACTGGGGAAAGACTACATGTACATCAAGATTATACAATGGTAAGTACGGTGGTTTGAAAGCAAACAAGCTTGAATTCGTCAGTTAAGTACTACATCTAGTACCCCTAATCAAGATAAAGCCAAGTCAGTAAGAAGTATGATCTCAAATACAAGTGTACTGATGACATACAAACCCTCCCATTCGCTGATCAGTAAAAAGGAGGCTTCTGATGATACTGCAATGTAGGACACTTGGGGTGGTTCCAGAAAACTCTGCCTTGGTCACAGGCCAACAGTGTTGTATGCTTCCAGCAGGTATTGACATCACAAACCTGAACTCTGGTTTTGCCCCATCAGAACAAGTACCTTAGATAACCCTGAAATGATAAATGTATCATCCAGAGTCACCATAATCCTACCGACATAAGCTCTATCTACCCAAAGGATAATGTACAGATCATTAGAAAAGCATTCCTTGGTACCAAGAATGGAGGATCAAGGTTCTTAGCTGGTGACACTACTTCCTCCTCTTACATGAACATAAACAGGCCTCTTTCTCTTTTCCTCTAAGTTTCGTCATGGTATTCAATAAAATCACTTAAATGGGCAATGATTAGGATAAATGGTTAACCTCCCTTTCTCTAATTCTCCCACTTAATTTAAGTGCCCAGCTAAAATGAGTGCTATAATCTTTCTGTGCTTGAAAGATCTGTCAATCAGGAAACCCAGGACAGTGTCGACAACAATGTTGTGTTTCCCAGCAGACAGTACATATTTATAAAGATAAAAGGAAAGAACACAGATACGAGTGAACAATTTTTATTGAAACCCTCAAAGATTAAAGAGGACCAAATGGTGAGTTTGGGTACCATAACAGAAAAGCTCACCTATCTGTACCATCATTCACGGGAATGAACAAACCCAAACATGACAAAATTCAAATTCTCATGTAATTGCTACAAGTGAATATAAATGAACTAATAATCATTTTATCATAACCTTTCTGTAATCATACGAAAAAGGGAATTTACATGGCATAACAAAAGATATGCAAAACTTAATGAAAACACAATTCTCTTAAATGTCTCAAACTTTTTATAGGATGCAGAAAGCACTTGAAATGATTAAATGACTTAAGCTGACTCTTTTTTATTGCAAACCATTTTATCATCAGCTTAACCTCCATGCATGGTATTCAAAAAGAGAACAGCTTTTGAATTAGAAAGATCACAAGTTAAAATGAGGAATTAAGTACTGAAATTATGAAAAGGCTGGGGTTTCTTTTGAAAGGAATCTTCAAGTACCAATAAGTATAGAGACAGAATACTAATTTTGGTTACATTTTCCCCCTTACTGTTAAATATACAAACTATTATACCTTCCAAAATAAAATACTCACTTAAGATAACTTTAATAAGAAACATTCAAACCAAATCTTGGAAAAATATTAAGCAAGAAATTTCCTGGGCATGTCTTAATTTGTGATTATTCAAACATTTGATTATGTGTTTCCTGCTGTGGAGCCCAGGTTCTCTCCTTTTTGGTCGCTACAGTTAAACATTCAGTTAGTTGTGCTATTTAGACAACCTGTGATCATTTCATTTAGAGGGAAAACATTTTGCAATATATTGATAGACCAAGGAGGAAGAGAAAGTAGGTGCTCTGAAGAAATCGTAAAATGGAAAAAATAATTACCGATTGAAAAGATAAAGTTTTTATTTCCAAAGGAATGCTGCACCCATTTCACTTGGTATTAGAAATCCAGGTTAAAGGCACTGGGATGTACACCTCACGATGAGCAGACTACTCAATTACATTAGACGTTTCCGAGTCTGCCGTTGCAATCAGCCCGCTTGCTGCGTGTTTCTGTGACACTTCTTACGTAAAAACCAAATGTAAATCAAACACTCAATCCATTTATAATGTAACTAGTTTTATAAAAATATTCAGAGTTGCTAATAAAGCACCAGAAAAAGTGAACCTCAGAGTGAGGACTCATATCCTTTCTATGAGGTCTCCCTTTACAGTTCTCTAATAGGACCTCCAGAGTGACTACAGTCATCTTTGACATGTCCTACCTATATAATCTTAGGGATGTACAACATTGCTGTGGTTACTATACCCAAATGCCAATTTTTATTATAAATAGTTAAGAGACATGTCACAAGATAAGATTTCATGGCTTACTCTTAAAAAGGTAAAATAGGTGCAACTTTCCTTTAAGAAAGTCTTTATTTTGTAATATACCATTAATATTTTAATGTTCCCTTCAGTAAACACTGATATAACTACAATGGGACTACCAAAGACCTGTGAAATAGCTACGATTATCTACAAATACTGTATTTTATTTCACTTGAATACAGCATTTGCACATTTTAAGAAAACATTGTACAAAAAAATTATATAAATGAAAAACTCAAAGAAATATCTGCCACTAAATTTTGAACTGAAGTGATCAAATATGTAAATGTAAATGAAAAGGTTTCTAAACATGATGTAAACATAAATGCAGTAATGCAAAACACCAAGGTATTCAAATCTACTGTATTGCTATTTTCACCCTTATTTCACCCTTATATCTTTCTACATAGCTTTCTCCTTTTGGAACAGTAATATAAGGGGCAGTACATTATCTTAATAACCATATGCCATCAGATCAATTAATACAGATGACACGTTTAATTATACAAAATCAATTTGCTTCAAGACACAAAATTAATGTTGATATGTAACTAATGAAAAAAATAAGATGTTAAAAAGATAACTATAAGAATATCCAGATATATGCTGTATTCCCATTTATATAGATCTGATCAATAAAACATCAACACATTCACTTAGATACTGATTTAATCCATGGATCAAGGCCATATTTTCAAAGTATTTTAAGGATGCCAGGACACTGCAAAAGCTGGAGAAAAGAGTTGAACAGTATATGCTTGCTAAACAAGAACTATGTTTATTTAGCTAGTGAATACCTAGAGTAATAAATGTTTACTTCATGATAGCAATCAGGCTCGCAAACACCCAGAAATAGGAATTAAGGATTTTAAATGTAGTTATAAAGGTCATAAAAAGTCTGATTAGACTGAGGTACATTTACTCAAAATTTTGAGATTCATTAAGTGGTAGCAAACAAAATAATTCCTCAGACAAATGCACATTTTTCAGTTTACATATTATTGGGGGAAGGAGGAAAGAAGAATGTGCATTAACTGGTGAAATCCACCAAGCTGCATATCAATATTCTGTTACACCAAACAATTTAAAGACAAGGAAAATGTTCTAATATAATCTCAGATTATGTTTCATTTGGCTAAAATAGAGCTTAAGGTTGCTTTGCCATATTAAAAGTTTACTACAATAATTCTTCACATAAACATTTAGACTTGAACTCCAGGACTAAATATGGCATGATTATTTTGCTTTTAATCTGTCAAATAGCTAAAAATCGACAATTTAAAAACTACAACAAAGAAATGTTGAAGCAATGTGACTCTTACATCATTGAACCACTTCTAATAGTTAACTGTTAGTATTTAACAAATTCAAAGAGTTAATGAATCTTTGCATTCATTCAGTCTTCTGTGCCTTAGCTAGGATGCATAATTACAAAAGACAGCAGATACTGGTAAAAGCTTCAGGACAGAAAGTGCTTGACGAAGTTACAGTTCTCAAGTGTGTTTGGTGAGAATATAAGGGCAGATGCGCTGATGAAAATCATTACAAGAGTCAATTCTGTGTTAAAAAGTTCAAAGATGTCACCTTATGCAGAAAAAAAAAGCTTTAATAATGTCTTCTTTGACTTATTAGGCATTTCCAGAGTCTACATCATTAGTGTTGTAATTCTAAGAGGACATCTTCATATGGTTATTGTTTGTTTCTATTTCTCTCCTGGAAAAAAAAACAACACACACACACACACAAAAAAAATGTAACAAAATGCCATCATTTATATAAGATTTAAATTAATATAATGTAAACCATTTCCATAAAAAGTTCTTCAAATACTAACTCAAGTAATTAGTTAAAACTGATTTACTATTATCTCTACGCACCATAGTGGGATGATCACCACAAATCATTTTTAAGTAAAAACTACAAACATTTATTTCAGGAGAGTAAAGGCCCTCTCCACATCCCTATTTTCCCACAGTATTTTGGTTAAGGTGAAGACATTACAATAATATCTTTCTAGCCCTTTCAAAGAGTTTTTGATAATGAGGTATCAAAGAGACTAAAAGGAGACTAGCAATTTCAAAACTATTTGCTCAGGTAGGGTTAATAGAAAAGGAAATTGGAAAAGAGTCCTATTAAATTTTCAGTGTTAATAAAAATACTTTGAATCACAAACTTCCTCGGTATCATATTCTCATGTTCAGTATAACTTTCCACATCAAGAAACATTAACACTGATTACTTTCTTCTTATAAAGCAGAATCCCCTTGAACAAAAGTTAAACTACGTGATGTTTTCATGTTTATTAACCAAATATATTTACCTATAAAACTTCTTTCAATTGAATGCATCAGTGTGTTTGTACCATCTTTGTGTAACTCAGAGGTTCTCAAACTTCAGCAACACCAGAATCACCTGGATGGCTTGTGGAAACACTACTGAGTCCCCAAACTCAGAAGCTGAACAAACCTGTGAGCTTGCAGTTCTAACAAGTTCACAGGAAATCCTAATAGTGCTGGTCCAAGAACCACACTCTAAAAACCACTTGTGTTTAACACATTATAAGACTCTTTGCTTTCACTACTTTCATTTTATTTTTCATGTTCTACAATAAGTAAGAATATACTTTACAAATGGTCAAATTAGTTTACTGTCCTCTGTGACAACATCAGAAAATTAGAGAACTGTAAGTCGTTACCAAATTCATTTTAACATAATCCTAGAACCTGAGTAACAGTATTTAATACAGAAAGCTATTAATTATATGTCCTACTACATAACTACAAATAAACTTATTTCATAGACACATAAGTATCAGCAAGATATTCTGAAATTAAAAAATAAAACAAACATGAAAAAGATAGAGCTAATTAATCACATCTCAAAAGGATAAGCAAAAACAAAAACCAAACAACATAAAGGAAAAGACACACACACACACAAAATTGGTACCGTGAAACTTAACCTAACTTTGCAAAGGCCCTAAACATAAATCCAGCCTAAACATAAATCCAGCCTAAACATAAAGTTTGGTTCTCAGAAGATGAAACAGATTTGTATGAGAAATCTGAAGTCTGCTTTAAATAGCTAGATATAAAACACGGTATTATAGATAAAGCAAGAGGATGTTAACAGCACATTGCTCATTCTTCCCATAAAATATGATTGATCAAAACTAGAGAAATTCATCAACTCCATGAAGAGCCCCAAACTATAAAAACAAAGGCCACACTACTTAAGGAAAAGTTAGACAAAGAGAGGTTTAATTCCAGGGAGATCAGTTATATCAATGAGGACCATGTGTTATTTAAATAAAAGTTAAAGATGCTGTTTCAGTTTGATCTATAATAAACTACACATTCTAAACAAATCAATAAAAAATACATATTATAAAGTAGATGATAATCAATGTACATAACACATAACCGCTAACTCACAGGACAAAGAACTTCAAATAAGACAGAAAAGTGGGAGAGAGTTAGAAAGATCTAGATTAATTAAAGCACAAAATAAGATGGCAGAAATATACATTTCTATCAAGCAATCAAAAAATGTAGATTCATCAATGACAACACAAAATAGCAGCTCAGATTTTAAAAATTTACATCCAGTCACACATGATTTATAAGAAATAACTTTAAAACATAGGAGCACAGGAAAGTTCAAAGTAATAAAAGCAAACTAAATGAAAACTGGTATCACTATATTACCATAAGACAAATGGGCTTTAAGGCAAAAACCATTGTTGGAGATAAAATGATCACCACATACTGAATAAGAAATTTTTTCCTTAAAGCTGTAACAATATTAAACTAAAATGACAACTTTATATATTAAAAGTTGTCAGAATTACAAAGACAGGTTCCTAATTAAAATGAGAATTTAAGTCCTGACCAGTTTGGCTCAGTGGATAGAGCGTCGGCCTGCGGTCTCAAAGGTCCCAGGTTCGATTCTGGTCGAGGGCATGTACCCTGGTTGAGGGCACATCCCCAGTGGGAGGTGTGCAGGAGGCAGCTGATCGATGTTTCTCTCTCATCGATGTTTCTAACTCTCTATCCCTCTCCCTTTCTCTCTGTAAAAAATCAATACAATATATATTTTTTTAAAAAGTGAACTTTGAAAAAAAAATTGAGAATTTAACATATTTCTCTTAGTAATTGTTAGAGCAGACAAGTTAGTAAAAATAGAGATTAAATATACAGAATACAGAAAATAGCCAAATAATGACAGAGCACATTGAACAAAGACAAAAAGTAACAATATGCCAAAGAGTCAGTATCATGCAGATCGCATTTTCTGACATAAATTTTAGAAGCAAAACATAATCCCAACCAAAAAAAAAAAAAAAAAACCACACAACTTACCCACATTTGGAAATTCCAATATGTTAAAAATGTGTAACAGTAAGTCCCCCAAAGTAGAAGAAATAAAATAAGATTGCAGCAGAAAAAATGAAACCAAAGCAAAAATAAAGAACCATAGAACTACAATTTAAAGCTGGGGGAAGGGGAGGAAGAAATCCAACAATAGGGAAAAAAAATCTCTGAAAAGAATGATATTAAAAAAAATTAAACATAAATAATATAATGAAGACAGATACAGCTAAAAAATAAAAATACCATTAATGTAAATATGCCAGTATACAGGAAAAGCTAAAGAATTGACAAGCTCCTAAAAATACAATTTACCACAATAAACTCAAGAATAGAAAACCTGAAGAGACTTATAACTAAAGAAGTTTAATCAACAAAAATCTACCCCCCAAAAAAGCCACCAGGCTCATACGGTTTTACAGGTGCATCTGATTGTCCCAGACTTGACAATTAATTCTAAACTTACACCAACTGTTCCAGAAACCAGAAAAGGCCTATTTCCTGATGTATTTTGACATTAGCAATACTTTGATACTAACACTGCCATGAAGAGCATGAGAAAACTAACAGTCCAGTCTCACTTGTCACCAAGGAGCTCTTAAGGGCTATTTTGCTGATTAGAGTGAAGAAGAGTAAAGGTGGCAGCAGGAAGGCCAGTAAGAAGGCTAGCAAAATAATTAGCACTTAGACCAGGGTGAAAGATGCAGTTAGTGAAAAGTGGTTAGATTTGGAATACATTTTTAAATCAGGGACAACAAAACTTACTGAAAGACTGATTAGAAATGGGGTGAGAAAGAGAAGTATCAAGAATGAGTCCAGTAGTCTTGGCCTAAACAACTGGAAGAGTAGTAGTGTCCTGTATATGATGGAGGAGGTTTGGGGCAGGCAAAGGAATTAGTTCTATTATATTTAAGATGGCTTATTAGACAACTAAGTGAAGATATCAAGTAGGCAAATGGACACATGAGTCTGAAGGTAAGAGAAAAGGTCTAGGATGTACATACAAATTTGATAGTCCTAAGTATGGTAAATGCCCATCAATAAAACTCAAGTCCTCCTGAAGTCTCAATACCTCTGCTTTAAGACAGGTTCATAATTACTCCTACTGGTGGAGTTGGGAGGTAACAATGGGAGAAAGGAAACCTGAATTACACAAAAAAAGCCATGGTCCAGTACACCTGGAGAAGGACTAAGCCTCTAGAGATGGTTCAGAAGATGGCACTTCAAACACATACAACTGTTAGCATACAAACTTTCCAAAGTGATTCATAGAACTCAATTTGTACCTTTAATAATGATTGACAACTCAAAAAACAATTTGTGGAGGGATCATTTTTCACTAATAGAGCTAGGCCTCAACCAGGCAGATTGAGATTTGAGTGCTTTTGAGTCCCTGGCACAGGGCTTCTTCTTCATTCAAAACTGAGCAAAGGCACTGGAGACAACACATGATCTGAGATTCAGAAATTGGCCTGTGGAGGTCAACTCCAGAAGGAAGTTTACTTGCCAATCCATGTTTTTTGACAGAGCTTATTAACAGATGAGCAAACAAGAGAAGAGCCAGAAAACAAAATTTTCTTCAGTACCCTCAGAGGGGCCAACAGCTTGCCTTTAACATTACAGGTAAATAATTTATTTCCTTTAATCAGAGATAGGTTTATCACCATTATCAATTTCTGTTTTCATTAAGCAGACCTGAGCACAAATGAACCACCATGGAAAAGTAACTGTTTCTAAGAAGCCAAACCACCCAGAAAGAAAATGAGAATAAGTATTCAGAACACAAATACAATAAAATAGAACTGGTGAAAGAGGCAGTGAACACCAAGGAGGTTGGGGGAGGTGTACAAAAAGCTTGCAAGCAGGCACTTGAGATTCAAATGCCACAAAAAACAAACACCCTGGCTTATTAGAAATCTGATTTTCAAATTAAACATTTCAGTAGATGAATTAAATAGGGAAATGGTCACTGCCTCATTTGGGAAGTAGAATACCGAGTGCAAGAATTATCTCAGATTACAGAGCAGGAAAAAAGGCAGGAAATCACAAAGAAAAAATAATTAAAGACTAGATCCAAGCCCTAACCGGTTTGGCTCAGTGGACAGAGCGTCGGCCTGCGGACTGAAGGGTCCCAGGTTCGATTCCAGTCAAGGGCATGTACCTTGGTTGCGGGCACATCCCCAGTAGGGGGTGTGCAGGAGGCAGCTGATCGGTGTTTCTCTCTCATCGATGTTTCTAACTCTCTATTCCCTCTCCCTTCTTCTCTGTAAAAAATCAATAAAATATTTTTAAAAAAAGACTAGATCCAAGACAAAATGAATATTCTAGAAGTAGGAAAAAGAA